ACAATGCTCGGGTGGTGGGATCTCCTGGCTTGCCTCATTGGGCTCCCTCGTTGACCGGGGAGGGGTCCACCCTGCCTGACGCCATCTCCCCCCCACCCCAGGACAACTTCGGCTACGACCTGCCGGCGGGGGAGGCCGCCATGAAGAAGCACGAGGCCATCGAGGCCGACATCTCCTCCTACCAAGAACGCATCCAGGTGGTGGTGGAGCTGGCCCTGGAGATGGAGTCCGAGGGCTACTACGACACCAAACGCATCAGCGCCCAAAAGGACAACATCCTTCGGCAGTGGGGGCTGTTGACCGAGCTGGTCTGCGCCCGCCGTGCCCGTCTCGAGCAGAACCTGGCCCTGCAGAAGATCTTCCAGGAGATGGTCTACATGATCGACTGGATGGAGGAGATGCAGGTAGAGCCGGGGACGGGAGAGGTACCCGGAATCCCCATGGAGGATGCGGTGGGCAGCTCTGGACCCTGTGGTCTCATTCCCCTTCTCCAGGTGCTCCTGGTCTCCAAGGATTTGGGGAAGCATCTTCTGGAGGTTGAGGACCTGCTGCAGAAGCACGGGCTGCTGGAAGCTGACATCTCTGCCCAGACAGAGCGGGTGCAAGCGCTCAACGCCGCCGCCCTCAAGTTCTCGGAGCTGGAGGGTAACGTGGGGCACCACGAGGACCGGGGAGATACTTGACCTTGGGAGGGGTCAACCAAGGTCTTCAAGGTGCTGTAGACCATCTCCGGCTAAGATCTGGTTCTCTTGGTCCAGGCTATCAACCCTGCGACCCCCAGATCATCTGCAACCGGGTCAACCACGTCCAGACGTGCCTGGAGGAGCTGGGGGAGCTGGCGGGCAAGAGACGCAAGGAGCTGGAGGATTCTCGCCAGCTTTGGGCCTTCTTCCAGGAGATGGAGGAGGCCGAGGCATGGATCCGTGAGAAGGAGCAGATCCTGGCCGCCAAGACGTGCGGCCGGGACCTGAGCAGCGTCTTGACCTTGACCAACAAGCACAAGAGCATGTTGGGCGAGCTGGGAAGCCGACGGGCGCTGTTGCACCAGACCATGAAAAGGGGCGAGCAGATCTTGGCCAAGAAACGCTTCAGCCCCGGTGGGATCCAGGAGAAGATGCGGGAGGTTCGCCTCCGCTGGAAGAAGCTGGAGGAGGTGACGGGGTTGCACCAACAGCGGTTGCAGGAGGCCCTCAACTTCTTCCAGTTCAGCGCCGAGACGGACGACTTGGTGGCCTGGTTGCAGGACACCTACCGCATCGTCTCCAGCGATGACTTTGGCCATGATGACTATTCCACCCAAGCTCTTCTGCGGAAGCACCGGGCGGTGGTGGAAGAAGTGGAGAAGCACCGGGCGGCCGTGTTGGCCCTCCGGAAACAGTTGGCTCTTCTGGCACCTGAGCATCGTCAAGGGGTTGACGTGCAGATCCGGGTGGTGGAGGTGGAGCAGCTCTATGGGGAGGTGGCTGAGGTGGCCGTGCTGCGGCAGCAGTGGTTGCAGGACGCCTTGGCCGTCTACCGCATGTTCAGCGAGGTGCACGCCTGCGAGGTCTGGGTGGACGAGAAGGAGCAGTGGTTGGAGAGGATGGAGGTGCCGGAGGAGCTGGATGAGGTTGAGGTGGTCCAGCATAGGTGTGTGGGGGGGTTGGGACACCTGGGTCCCTTGCCCCGTCGTGGACCCCGCCATGGACCCCGCTGCTCACGTCTCCTCCTCAGGTTTGAGAGCCTGGACCAGGAGATGAACAGCGTCATGGGACGGATCTTGGACGTCAACCAGGTGGTGCAGCAGTTGGTGGACGGGGGCCACCCCAGCTCGGAGGAGGTCCGCTCCTGCCAGGACCACCTCAATAGCAGGTACGGGAGTGGGGAGGGGACCGAGCTGTGGGGCCAAGCCCATCCTGGGGGTCAGTGATGCCCGTGGTGGACCCCATCCTGCTTGGGGGGCTCCTGGATGGGGGGAACCATCTGTGGGGCTGCTTGTAGACTCCAGCCTGTGGTTGTCCCAGCCTGGTGGGACGTCCCTATGGGGTCTAGCTCTTCGGTGCAACAGGCCAAGCCCGTCCTGGGGGTCAGCAATGCCCATGGTGGGCCTCATCCTGCTTGGGGGCTCCTTGGTGAGGGGAACCAACCGTGGGGCTGCTGGCAGACCCCAGTCCTGTGGTTCTCCCAGCCTGGTGGGACGTCCCTATGGGGTCCAGCTCTCCGGTGCAAAGGTCCAAGCCCATCCCAAGCCTTGGCAATGCCCAACCTCATCCCAGGGCCCCATCCTGGTCTTGTTCCACCTCTGTCCCCATCCCCAGGTGGAACCGGGTGGTGGAGCTGGTGGAGCGCAAGAAGGGCCAGCTCAGCTCCGTCCTGAAGATCCAGAACTACCTGCTGGAGTGCGGCGAGATGAAGGCGCAGGTGCGGGAGAAGAGAAAAGCCATCGAAGCCACGCAATCGGGCGGCGGCGACCTGGGCGGCGTGTTGGCCTTGCAACGCCGCCTCTCCACCATGGAGGCGGCTCTGGTGGTCTTAGAACCTCGGTTGGTGGAGCTTCAACGAGAAGGCGAAGCCTTGGCTGCCTCCCACCCCGGGAGAGCCCTGGAGATCCTGCTGCCCTTCGAGCAGATCAGCGAGGAGTGGGAAGCCCTGAAGCGGGCGCTGCAAGGTTGTGAAGACTCTTTGACCGTCGCCGGTCGCTTGCAACAGTTCATCCAAGACTTGGACAACTTCCTTGGGTGGTTGGTGAAGACACAAGCGGCCGTTGCCTCCGAGGAGGTGCCAGACAGCTTGAGCGAAGCGGAGAGGTTGTTGAACCAACACGCGGCCCTCAAAGAGGAGATCAACGGCTACGAGGAGGACTACGCCAAGATCCAAGCGGCCAGCGACTTGTTGGCCTTGGAGGAGACGGAGGTCCCCTACCTCTCGTTGCAGCAGTGGTTGCAGAAGCTGGACGCGGGCTGGGGCAAGTTGCTGCAGAGCTGGGAAACGCGGCGAGAGGTGCTGGTGCAATCTCACGTCTTCCATCTCTTCCTCCGGGATGTCCAGCAATGCGAGACCAGCCTCTACAACCAGGTAGAGACGGGTGGGAGAAGGTCTCGGTGGACCTCCTGGTTGAGCTGGGGAGGATGGAGCAAGGAGAAGAGGTGGCCATGGATGGAGAACCCAACACCGGCATCTCCTCCATCCCTTCTCCAGGAGTCCACCCTGGTCCACGCCGAGCTCCCCGACACGGTGGAAGGGGTGAGCAACGCCATCAAGAAGCACAAGGACTTCACCACCACCATGGACCTCAACCTGCAGAAGATCCAACTGGCCCTACAAGCTGGCGAGAGCCTCCAACGGCAAGGCAACCTCTACAGCGACCGCGTGGCCGAGGCGATGGAGGGTCTCCGTGCCAAGTAGGTGCCGGGACGGCAATGCCTGCACCCCCACCCCCGGCACCCGGGACCCCCCCGGGGACGATGACAGAGCTGGATCTGCCGGTGCATCCTCGCCACGGCAGATGGGGGCTGTGCCTCAGTTTCCCCCTTGGGTTAATTTGCTTTGCGGGGTGGGGTGGGTTAATTAGGTGCTTAATTGGGGTGCTGGGGGGGGGGGTAATGGGTGGGCAGCGCTGGGCTGGGACCCACCCGACCCCGCGGGGGCCACCGCAACTGCCAGCTGGCGCAGGACGGG